ACTGTCTTGTCCCTAGACCTTCACACCAGGTGACAGTGGGGACTGTCTTGTCCCTAGACCTTCACACCAGGTGACAGTGGGGACTGTCTTGTCCCCAGACCCTTCTCACCTGGCAATAATGGGGACTGTGGTTTCCCCAGACCTTCACACCAGGTGACAGTGACCCACCACAGCAGGTCCTGACACTGGGGACTCCCACCTGCCCAGAACCTAGGCGTCCCCTGACTCAGGGTCACCTGCTGCATCCCTGAGCTGGCTCCTGCCGGTCACTGAACAAGTCTGGGGTACAGACCGGGAGGCCGGAGGGTTCTGCCCCCCCCCACAGTCTCTGTGTCCCTGGCCACACACCTGGGGGCTCCCGCGAGGCCAGCACCTGCTCCTCTGATCTTGCCTGTCTTCACAGCCAAGGGGCCACCTGGGAAGGAGAGGACGTGTGTGACCGGTCCACCCCAGCAGGTTGCCAGGAATGCAGAGGTGAGTGGCCAGCAAGAGTCCAGGGCAGCTCCTGGTCCCGGGGCGTGTGCCCTGCGTGACGGTCGTGGACAGTCAACGCATAGCCTCGTGGTGAATGCGGGAATGGAGTGGACGTCCAGCGGACATCCGCGCTCCTCACCTGGCCCCAGCACTCACCCAGCGCCTCCGCCTCCCGCAGCCTGGGCCTCTGGGGCGGGTGCCCAGGACAGCAGCCGCCTCCGCGGTTGACCGGGAGGAATTCCCAGAGCCGGGCAGCGCCACCCGAGGCCCCTCGGGGAGTCCTCCTGGGAGCACTGGCCCCCGCTGACCCGGCCCCCTGCAGCCCGTGTCCCGCGCGGGGGAACCTGGGGTCCTGAGACAGGGACCCTGAGCCCCCTTCAGCTGGACTGTGCCCTCGCTGCCCGGCACCCGCCTGGCCCCACCTGGAGGGACGCGACTGGCCCCTACCTCCCGGCGGCGGGTTTCCGGCGGCTCCGGTCGGCGGCTCCAGCACTTCCTAAGAGGCTCTGGCGGGCTGCCACGAGGGGCCGGCCGCCTCCCGCCCGGGGACAGAGGCGTGGCCTCGGAGCTGACCTGTCCCAGCCGCCGGCGGCCACCGCAGGCCCCGCCCCCAGCCCCGCCCCCAGCTCTGCCCCCAGGAGCCGGCCGGGGTCCTCACCCAGGCAGGACAGGCGGGGCCCCAGAGGTCCCCAGGGAGGGACAGCAGAGACCCCCGGGGGACTGCACTGCCCGCCCCCGTGGCTGCCGCTCACCAGGTCACCCGAGCTGCCGGGGATTGCGACATCCCAGCGCCGGTGGCTCTTGATCTCTGAGCACCGCCTCGGCACACTGCCCGTCCCTCCCTGAGTGTTGACCTTCCCCCGAGTGAGGGCCTCTCCTCCCGAGTGGCCCCGGTGCTTGTCGCCGGAACCTGGTCCTTGTCCCCGGAACCTGGTCCTTGTCCCCGAAGCCAATCCAACGACCAGGAAGTGGTTTGAGAAAAGGGGACACGATGGCTTTGTCTGCAAAGAAGCAGGCACTTGGGTCCCAGAGGTGGGGTCCTGCCCGTGGGTGGCAGCAAAGAGGGGACTCGCAGGCCGCAGTCCCTGCTGAGCTGTCCCCCACTGCTGACCTGGGAGATGGCCACTACTGAGGTCCTCTGGGGCCATCCCCAAAGGCTGGTTGACTCCAGTCCGTGGTGGCTGTGGGCTCAGGGACAGATACCTCTGCCCAGGAGGAGGCAGGAAGGTGACCCTGAGATGAGGGAGGGGACGTCAGGGAGAGGAGGGGAAGAGCCCGTCCCCAGAGCCGCAAGGGCCATYCTCAAAGCTTGAGTGGATACTGCCACAGGCCCAGGTGAGGACCAGGGGACACTTCCACACCCACAGCCCACCCAGGACACCTTCCCTCTGTGGGGCTCTTACGGTCCAACATGGACACTGTGTGACATGAACCAGTGGTCACCAGGAACTGGCCACCACCTGCCCTTGGAGTGACAGAGGTCAGTGGTCACCACTGTCCCTGCCATGAGAGTGACAGAGGTCAATGGTCACTAAGACCTGGCCACCTTCTGTTTTGGGTATGATGGGGGTCAGTGGTCACCAAGGCCTGGATCATTCATGGTCCCTGCCCTGGAAGTGACATGTGATATGGTCACTAAGGCCTGGCCACCACCTGCCCTGGGTGTGATGGGGGTCAGTGGTGACCAAGGCCTTGTCATCCATTGTCCCTTCCCTGGGAGTGACAGAGGCCACTGGTCACCAAGGCCTGGTCACCACCTGCCCTGGGTGTGATGGAGGTCAGTGGTCACCAAGAATTGGCCACCACCTGCCCTTGGAATGATGGAGGTCAGTGATCACCAAGGCCTGGTCATCCGTTGTCCCTGCCATGGGAATGACATGGAGTGTGGTCACCAAGGCCTGGATCATCCTGCCCTGGTGTGACATGTGACGTTGTCACCAAGGCCTGGATCATTCCTTGTCCCTGCCCTGGGAGTGAACTGTGACGTGGTCACCAAGGCATGATCATCCACAGCTGGAGCCTCCTGCCCGTGTGACTGTGGTCACCGTGGGGGGCCATCCGTTGCCCGGGCTCCGCGTGGCTGGGCGCTGACCGGYGGGCGGTGTCCCTCAGGTGTGCCCAGGCCCCGTGGGTGCCGTCCTGTGTTGTCAGCTCGGGGTTGGGAAATGGCCTGACTCAGCAGCCAGGTGTGCGGGCGAGAGGAAGGGACGGAGGAGGGAGTGCCCGGTGGACTTCCGCAGTGGACGGCACTCCTCTCCTGGAGGACCCTGTGAGCTGGCCCTCAGTCCTGCCCTGGGCCGGCTGTGGGCAGGGACACCCTGGAGGCCCTGGGCAGTGTGAGCAGAGCCCATGCATGTCCACAGCCCGAGGCCGTCCCTGCTAGGARGACCCTGCCCGCTGGCCTGGCTGCYGGGCAGTGGTCACGGGCGTCCTCTGCTCTCTGGAGGTCCAGTGACCGATGGGAAGTGCTTCTTGCTGGCCCTGCTTGGACGCTGGCTCACCCACCGTCCCCCAGCCCACAGCTCTTCAAGGGCCGGGTGACTCTGCCAAGCAGGAAGTGTCCCATGCAGGTGGACATTTGGACAGCTCTGGCCAGCAATCTGCTCCCCTGCCGTCCACACCACAGCACCCCTGACCAGAGCCTGGGGTATCCGGAGCCACGAGGGCGGTTCCAGGTGGTGAGAGCTGCAGTGTGTCCACGATCTCTCAGCCTCCGCGGGGCCGGTCAGCAGGGCCACC